AAGAGTCATGAGAATAAAGTTAAGAAAATTGAGACCAAGTCTCACTTAATTGCCTTCATACAGCATTTCACAACCTCTCTGTGAAGGTGGAACGCAAAAGCCTGAGACTATGTCCATAAATATTGCTAAAACCACAAAACCAAACAAATATCAAACCGCAAAACACCAATAACCGCGTTTGCTTCTCCGTTTTGCGTCCAATTAATGTTTCGATATCCATTTTCCTCCTGCCTCTGCATCAAAAAGAGTAAACTCAAACACAAAAACCAGCTTGTTATGGTTATCACAAATATAGTAATCAGTAAAGAATGACTTACATGTACAGAAGTAACCTTCATTTTGTTAGTCATCTACGATGCGATCTTGGTTGGGTTTCATATTTGTACATCACATCACGGGTGAGAAATCCCAGCGCCACGAGGTTCTTCATGCCGTAAAACGAACAAGTCATAATGCTATTAATTGGTTCTCTCATAAACACACCACTTCAAAATGGTAATAGCTCAACTACTCAAATCACTTCCCATAACGAACAATTACAAGGCAGTTCTTGATTTGAATTGGGTCGAGAGCAAGTTCATAAACTACCAAATCTATAGCCTCAATCCAGACTTGAATCTATAGTAAAAGGATTTTATAAAGCTAACAACTTATGTTGGTTGTACTTGATTGATAAATTAGAACACAACTTACAACTGTATAAAGCTATGATTAATCGTATATTTGGATGACAAAGGATCTTAGGAGAAAAGTCATGATATAGTACCTTGAGCGAGTAATTATTGAAAGGGTGATCTTCAGACATTTCAAACTCTACAAGTTCGTCACGTTCATCAACCTGCATACCATCATTGATCCAATTCAGGGACATTACACAACTAAATTTAGCGTCAATATTTCTGAGGAGGAAAAATAGTGGATCAATAGATATTACCCCCTCGTTGTGATGATTGCTGAAGCAACCACTGCTGCCACGGTCACTAGAATATTCCTTTTCCTTGGTTGGAACACATTGCTCATCCGAAATACTCGACGAGTAGCGACTTTGGAAGTAACTTGTGTCAAGAGCATTCTTTGAATCTGGCACAAATGCAGCCTATACAAAACAAGTATTAAAACAAGCATTTAAACTCTAAAAGCAAAAGACAAAGGAATTCACCTTCTGTTCTCCTAGAGTATCCCAGTTTATGCCTTCAAAGAAGATGTGTTGCTTGACCTGGGTCATAATATATATTTCATCACTACACAACACCTTGCAATAAACTGGAATCAGTCATCCAAGAAAACACATAAATGTCACCTCAGCCGCCCCTCTAGCTCCAAGTCTCTGCTTAGGATCTTTCGTTAATAACCTGGATAAAAGCACATGAGACGATGTTACGGAAAATAACACTTTGTCTTCTTTTCCATTGGGTTATAAGCTGTTCTTGAATCAAGCGTGATTAAAATGGGCATTTACTTGAACTCTTACAGAAAC